TGCGTAAAGAAGACGACAAGACAATCATCTACATATCTGCAGCAGAGTAGTGGCCCGAGATCTAGAGTTCTTTCTGGGTTTCTCCCGGGTGAACAGATGCTGTGCGAATGTCGTCAAATATCAATTTGCCTTCATTCTTCGTGTTTTCTTGTTCTCGTTCTTCTTCCTCCTCTCCTCATGTTTAGCGTTTCTGTGTATTTTTCCACATAACTAAATTTCCATCTGAGATAGGTTTAAAATCTGGAAATCAAATCTTTTTTTAAACTAGGTGTATTCACATCACTACAATCCTTACTGTCTAATTTCTAGAAGCTTAACATTATTTATGCGGATACGGATACGTTCATTCGTCGCCATTAATTTCGGAGAATTTCGAAGCAGCGCATATCTGTCTGCGGTAGTCTTGTCTGATTCAGGAGATGAAGTGAGCGATGACGCAGCTCGATCCGTACAGTGCCTCGTTGCGTGAGGAGCAGAAGGCGATTCTGAACGGATTGCTGGGTAGATTCATTGTTTTTTTCAGAATTTTCCTACATAGCTCTTGTCTTGATTTTTATCTACTGTCCATTCTTTTTACGTAGGAGGTACTAAGATACAACCACAAGGTTGCTGAAACCATGTGCAGAACTCGGGACCCTCAGGTGGGCTGTGAACGCACGATTCCTTTACCCGGCGCTCACGTGCTATCCACCCCACCAACCAAAACCCTTGCTTTGCTTTTCTCTCAGGTCTTACCTTTTTCTTTTTCTAAGTTTTATCTCTTTCTGGTAGTGGATACCTACTTATTGTAATTTTCGTCGAGCAGTTACAAAAGCCCGCCATTACCTATATCGCTGAGCGATTTTTTCGTATGAATTTATCTCAATAATAGTAAGTACAGAGTAACAATTGAATACAATAATAAATGCTTATCACAAAACGCATACAAAAGAGTTTCATGGAGTAAGAGGTATAGGGCGAAATAGTTACGTCAGAGCAGTAAAACACCAATCATTAGAGCGCGTCGGAAGAAAACCAGAGCACTTGCGTCTAGTTGTGGGTATGATTTGTAGATGCACATTTTTCATTGATGGACGTAAACACACAGAGCATAAGGATTACCAAGGAAGAAAAAATGACCAGACGGTTTGCATGAAGTCGCAGCGTCATGAAGATTCAAGACTTATTGGTGTAGAATTTCGGTTTATTTTGAGATAAGCTCCGTAATCTCGTCATCTGAAACTGCTTTCATCAAGGACAGACTCGAGCTGGCATCTCTAATCTCTCCTCGTTCATGTCCCTCGCCGATGTTGCTAAGTGAGCTCATCACATACAAGGACAAGAGAGATCTACTTTTCGCTTGAGTTTCTTTAATTTTATTGTTTTTGGTGAGAGGATGGCCATACTGGGCACGTCAAGCACACGAATTGGGCCAAGGTATATTTACAAATGTCTTGCAGTTTTCTTCAGATCTCTACTATTTGCATCTCAGTTACAGAAGTGAATCGACTGAATCCTGATAGGAAGCGTTCCATGTACCCTCGTGGCTCTCATTTAAGGGGCTCATAAATCCACGATTGACTAATTTCTTCATTGAAATCAGTACCATTGAGCAGATGCAAAACCGAACATTATTTAAAAACCAGTAGTGGAAAGATAAGCAATGAAAGTCGTTGGAAACTCATTTGAACAATTAAATCGAAAAGAGATGTTCAGAAGAATCCTGGTTTTTTTCGGTTTATTACTCTTTTTTCATGGAACTTTCATCTCGATTGTTTACGTCTTGTTGAGATTCTGACCGTCAGCAAGCTGCTGACGAGCGATTGTTTATTCAGTTTGCTCAAGTTCTTACTTCTGGGAATAATAAAAGTCCCGAGAGGGTTTCAAAAGGCGTTCATTCTATTCTTAACAGCGAATTTCTAGTTGGCTTATCTAATACATCGTTTGCATTGCCGAATTTTCGAGTTAGGGGAAGTGTTTCATAACATGGCGTAGAGTTTATGTCGTCATCAGCCAAAGTGGTTAGTTACCTATTGGTAGTCTTCCAATTTTGTTTATTCAGAGGTTTTTTGAGAATCTTGCTATCTTCGATCATATTTTTTGCTATATGTGAGAAGTCTATTAGAATTTCATTGGGTTGGCCCAACATTAGGTTAGTATGGAGCTGAAGCGCAGTCATTCTACATGGTGCTGGACAACTTCCACGCGAAAGACCACGCTTCCTACAGAGCTATCGACGATGATTTCAATAATGAAATTGTTAAAAAGAGGTAGTGCTTTGCACTAGAAACCACTGCTATGTGTTCAACGGGAGAGATCAGGATGGATGGCCGCTTGAGTTGATCATGAACATCAAGACCATCTCTGGTGACCTAAAATTTCAGAGAGCTCTTTGACGTTAGAATATCATACTGCTCATCAGAAGCAAAGTGGTGCTTTCGATGGCGTATATGTAATGATTATTCTTTATGAGATAGTTTTGGTTAAAAAAATATTTTTTTAAAATCTTCCATCATTTGACCCTGGTATTAATAATCAACGCCTTTTTAGATTATTGAACTAACGCGAGGTTGATAAAAAAAACACCCGTACTGTATAAAACGGCACCCTCGAGAGGGATTCCTCATTCAAACGGTGCTTTCTCCACTGGATTCGAGTCGATGCTTCAACGAACATTCACATTGCGACAACAACCATCTGTGGATCATCGACTCGGATCAATCAGGCTCTGAAGAGACGGTCTAAAAGTTAGCCGAATAAACTTTTTTTTATCAATCCCGTACCAGCTCAATGTTTAAAGAAGGTATTTAGAAAGCATTGTTTTTTACTGATTTACATAATATATTGTGTAAATCCAAGTAGTACCTTCATTTGATTTGCTCTCTCCCAGCTGTCGTCCACTAGGGCTTTCGGATATGTGTGTCGGTTTGGCTGCTACCTGAGGATTTGATCTTCAACATAAAGCTCTTGGAAAAATGGTCGAGTAGATTTCCTTTGGAATCCTGTGTTGGTTCACCTAAGGAGTTTCCAGGCCTTCATCACAGGTAGCCGCTAGCTTCTGTGGGCCACAGTGAGCCATCACGAGACAAGCCTGATGCCAATTTTTCAACCTCGGAGAGGTGGAAGGCCTGGAGCTTGGGGCTGATCCTTATTTACTTAGCTGACTGGGTACGTTTAGGAAGTGTACTTTATGATTTATGATCATGCAATACAACAATGTGCCATGATATTGTCACTTCCTGTTCCCCCTTAATGTGACGAACTTTTAGGTGAGATACAGGCCTCACATTTCTGTTGCATCAATTGTTTTGTTCATGTTGTCAATGACCGTTCTTGAAAATTTGCAGTACAAGCGAACTTGATGCCTGGTGCACTTGGACAGTGGATCAATTTCTCTCTAATGTAAAACGGTTATTTGGAAGTCAACAATCGATCCGAGCTTTACGTTGTCGGATGCTAAGCCTTTACCCTCCTGGATAAATCTTCTGCCAATTTGCCAACCTCTACTGAATAGTGGCATCCCAAGAGCGCTGAAACGAACCAGCGACCAAATGTGTGAGTTACAAACCAGCTGTGGAAAAAATATCAGACTGCAGGCATCTATTGCTTCAAAGTGATCGATATGATCGACCTGTACGGTGGTAATAGACAATGAATATCATCGTACTTGTGGAAACTGTGTCCATGTAGCTGCCAGAGTGAGACGGAAGTGAGACGTCGCATTTTATTTTTAGCCTTTCTCGTGTGAGCACTTTTAACGTGCATTGCACAACCTACATCACAAAGTTTTTAAGGAGCAGTGAACAATGTCTAATGAATGAAATCCTCATAGAAACGTACCGGTGACCAAATATCACTGTCAGGAAATAGTGGACAAGAATGCTGTTTATATCCAAAAGCTCCTTAATCAAGCATGGAATGACCATGTAAGTGAATAAAACCTTGAAAAGCAACGAAATTAGAGGAGCGACGGATTGACACATTGACGTATGGAAAGACAGCAACGTGGACAAGTTATCACACGGTCTTTCTTCGCTAATGAGAAGTGTTTCTAGTTTTGTGTGATAAGCGAATACTTCCTGGGTAGTACTCTCCTTACACGTGATTATATGATCTTCGACAGAATTAGTTGTAAGAAAATTTGCTTTATAGGTGAAAGCATTTGAACGCTACTTTCTCACTGTCCCAAAAAATCGAGAGTACAAAACGAAGGAATAGTCTCCGTGAAGCGCCATGGATGTGTTTTTCTCACTTCCAACGTTTCATGTTTTGCGGAATCCCTGGTTACACCATCCCAGATCAAATATCGAGGTTAATAAAGTTGAGTTATTTATTCGTAAGTCGACATCCGTGTGTAACGCAGTGGTTAGAGTCGTTCTGCAATACATATGGGATCGATTCCGCGTCCTCAATCCACCATCAATTCTTCCATTTCGCCGGGGTCGGCAAATTGGTATCAGCTCTGAATGAAAGATAGCAGCACTGTCTCGAGACATCGATAGGTCACCACAAGTCATTGTATAGGCCAGATATGCATTCATTCACCTCTAACGATGCATAAAGAAGTCGAATGAATGGCACCTTCGTCAGAGATTGATCAGCGCCGAGAGCTTTATGCCTTTATTTTTTAATTCCAGATCTCAGGTTAGTTATAATAATAGGTGTAATATTCATTGCTTTTCGTTTTTCACTTTTTTAGGACTAAGTGAGCTTTACCAAATGGCCAAAGTTCTATGTAGTTGTAGTTTAATCATTGCTGTGCCTGTGGTTGCGCTGATTTTCATCTTGGGAAGCCTGAATGGAGAGTAGTTTACTCTGCTATCAACAACACCGTTAAACACTCAACTAAAGCGCCAGTAGATATCTCCACTTTTAGGCAATATATAATGATATGGGGGTATTGCATGAAATCTTTTAATAAAATGAATTAGTGCCGATGCAGCTTCCTACTGAATCGATTTATGTTCAAACTTGCTGTCTTGTAAACGATAGCTATTTGTTGAGACGCTTTTCATTTTCAGGACTGATCTATGACAACTACGACACCACGAAGCGAATAGAGAACACTGTGAACAGCATCTATCGAATAACCGTTGCACTGTTAGTTATCGTGACGCTGATGGTGGTGGGGATGATTGTCTTCATTTGTGTTATGGGCTTCAAACGATATCAGAATGAGAGGTGAGTGGCATTCTCTTCCATTATTATCAACGATGCTCTATGCTGAACAAGCATGAACCGCTCAGCTTTACTTTCCAACGCAAATACCGGAAACTAATAGTTCCACAACACTATATCAAACATACAAATAACATTCTTAGAGGTATTAGCAATATTAGTACTTCAAAGTGCTTGTAGAGCCATGCTTAAAGGTGCCTTGCAAAGCACACAAGATCGCTAGCGCGTTCATTTCTACGTCACCCGTTCGCTCACCAAGCCCTCCACCCCACCGTTGTCGGTAGTACAGTAAAATGGACTTCGGCTTCTACGCCGTTTTTGAGTTGTCGGTCATTTTTTCATTGCTACTTTGGCTTTTGATTTCGGTTTTAACATCATCTCCGAATCAACTAGTAATGCTGAGCGAAGGATTCGTTACCGAAAAGATAGTTCCTTCAGATCCACACCGTTGTGAAGACCTGGTTACGCCCTTGAAAAGTTAAATCAGGGCTCCAAGGAGAATCAGAGTGCAATACGCAGCCTCAGTACTCCGCATACTGGGTGCTCCGTCTATAACATCAGAGGATGACACGACGACTGGTGAGAGACCACAAAATGCCGAGTTACGGAGGACGTCACTGGAACGAGATTTGACGAATACACGCACGACACGCCATGGAGGTTGTTTTTTACTCTAGATGTATAATACCAAAACACTCTCCACAGGCACCGATCTCCGCAATCAGCCTTCTTAAAGCTGCAGATCGTATCAAATTTATTGTGATCGTAATTCAAGAAACAAAAATCAAGATGGCCGACATAAGCCAACTAAACAACGTGACTCTTGTCATTCGCGGAGAAAAGGTCCCGTCACGAAATGTCGGCTTTCTCGTCCACCCGTCCATTGTCCATTTCGTCGACTCGTACGAGGTCTTCTCACCTTGCATGGTCGTGCTCTTTCTTCAACTGAAGCATCATAAGAAGATCATAATCACCAATTGTTACTCAGTGACCGATGCAGCCGTTGCGTACGAACTGAATGCGTTCTAGTACGAGGTAGTCGATGTTATCCACAATGACAAAGCGTGTTATAAATTTTTTGTCGGAGACTTCAACGCTAGAATAGAAATGTCAACAAGAGCAAACACATCATCGGAAACTTTCGGACTAGGATAAATAAATGAGAATCGAAACCGTCTCGCAGGACTCCTGTCTGCTGTACGTCTCTTACATGGAACCTCATTTTTCCAGAATAAAGAAACCCGCCGCAGCACATAGTAGTCTCCTAACGACTCGACTCATGAGGAGATCGACCATATTCAGAGAAAAAGAAGATGATGCCTACTTGACACATCGGTAGTCCCGTCATTCTACACTGGTTCTGATCACCGCTTTCTTCGCGCAAGGATTCAATTCAACTGTAACCTGGAAAAGAATTCAAGTCATCGACCACGTGGAAAAAGTCAAGCTGCATATGACAAGAACATTCTGAACGAAATCTTATCCAGACGTGACTGGAAGATTAAGGAGGACCCGAACAAAGGCTGCTGGCTGCTTTCGAAGGACTGAAAAGCTGAGCCGAATTCGCCTCAATTCCTCAAGCAAGAGGGTCGGATCGCATCTCCATTACTACTAAGGAGTTGCTCGAAGAGAGAAGGAAACGGAAGCTTTATACTGCTAGTAACATGGTTAGTAATAAGTGCCAGTTGCAGAATACCTTTGCAGGAAGATCTACATCGGTACAGGAAGAAGAAACTACTGGAAGCAGTAGAGAAAAGAAGCATTCTGAAAAAATGTCGTCGGGACTTGTGCGATTATATGTTCCATTGTCATCCCTGATTAACAAAGATGGGATCAGTAAAGCTTTTCTTAATGGTATGGAATTGATAATGGAAACGTTCTACACCAATCTTTTCGGTTCTACAATTTCCGCTCCGGTGCTTAAAATCCCCGCTGAAGAAACACCATTTGCAATTCCTCCATCAGAGGTTCGAGTTGCCATAGAAAGCATAAAAAGAGACAGAACCCCAGGAGCCAATGATATCACAGTCGACTTTGCATGTACTTCTCCCAGACCATATGGCAGCTTATCTTCGAAAGGAAAAAAATCCGAGACCAGTGGACGACGTCGCGCACGGTCATCCTGCCCAAGGAAATAGGCCGAAAGGATCTTCGTAATCATCGTCCGATATGCTTGTTGAGTGTCTTTTATAGGCTGTTCAAGAAGATTATCCATTCGCTCATATCAAGGACGTTGGATGAGGCGCAACCAGTGGAGCATGCAGGATTTCGACAAAGATTATGCTGCATGCACCAAATCGAAACTGTGCAAGGTCGTTATGTGTCAGGAATACCACCTACTCCAAGTGTCAACTTTTACCGACTATGGAGAAGCGTTTTACAATGTGTGGACCCGTTCTGCATAAGAACGCTGTCTGACCGTTATCTAACTGCATCACGAAAGCATAGGTTTTCCATGGACCTCTTGCAATTTCTATAGAAGAGGGGTTAGACAAGGCAACACAATACCGCCAAAGCTCTTTAATGCAGCACTGCAGTGGAAAGTGAAATCACGTGACAGGAGTGAGAAAGACATACGTAGTGATAGAAAATTCAAATCAAACCTTCGCTTCGCCGACGACGTCATCATCCTCTCATGAAGTGCTAACGAAACGCAAACGACGATCAGTGAGCTCAATGAAGCGGGGAAAATATCTGACTACGCATAAGTCGGAGGAAGACCCAGCTTATGAAAAAACGTAGTGCGAAATCTAACAAATTGAACTGGAAGTCTCTGGTTACAGAAACCACTTCTTACGTGTAACATGGGCATTGAGTGAAGGGAAACAACATGAAAGAGTAAATAGATATAAGAAGGAAAGTAGTATAGGCAGCATTCGGGCCACTCAAAGAAGCCGCCGACCAACTAATGGACCCAACACTCTGTGCTCATCTTTTCTATTTAACAGTCCTTCTAGCGCTCCACGCAGTGGAGACGTGCGCTGAGACCTCAACCACGTCAATAATGTTGTGCACCACCCACAGGGTACGTGAACGATATCCTATGAAATATAATCGGCACTTTCAATATCTAGCCGGAATGCGAAGCTCTGTTTTTCGAAATCTGTCACATTTTCGAGATCTAAGAGGGTATACGTCGCCAGCGAAACATAGTTCGGTCGGCTACATAATGAGAAGAACAGACGACAGGTGGACAAAAAGAAATGTGGAGTGGACTCCACGAGAACGCACCTGCAAGTTAGGCAGATGTGTTCATAACCAAAGTTAATCAGCTGTACTCACAGTTGCAGTTATTTATAGCTCATCGTATGAGAATGGCATGCGCCACTGTTTATAAAAGAACATGGACGACGACTGCGAGGAAAAGAAACGAATGATAAGTATGCTGTTGTCCGCACAGCTCATGAAGACGGACCGTTCAAGTCTTCAAGCAATTAGGTAATATTCAGTGAAATTAAAGGAATTACCTTCTTCCGTTGTTAAGCCAACAAGAAGATGGGTGAAAAGATTTTTAAAGCTTCAAAAAGTGCTGAAAGCAGATGGGTTAGACAACGCCAAAAATAACGGAAAAATAGAGTGACTTGGTTCAGCATTGAGCATCGCTGGTATATCTTCGCATTTTTCGTGAAGTCGTGTAACGTATGCACTTTGATATGATCACCTACGGCTTGTTTTATGCATGAATACTGTTTTCGTCTGTGTGCTCTGTATAGCATCAATCCACAATTACTTAAAGATTGTTTGAACATCGTTGCTTAAAATCGGAACTGATGGAGATCTAAAAAGAAGGGAGACGATGGTATCATTTAATGGGAATACAGTGTCGTCTTCTCTATAACAGCAACAATACTATTTTTGTCGAGGCGTCAAAACTGGCTGCTAGCCTTGAGGTGCAGTGGCTCACCTTCGGGTTCGCTGGGTATCTCCGGGTGCGTTTTGGAACTACCTGAACCTCGGAGAATCCCACGGTGTGGCCGCTAGTTTCGAATTGTTCGTCTGTACGATATGATCCGTCGTTATCGAACTTCTGATTCGCTTAGTGCCTACCGTGTTTTGAATTTGTTGCATGGCATGTTGCGTTTCTGTTCGCTTGGAGTGCTCGCCGTTCACGAGCATCTCGTTTAGCAATGCTGCCACAGAACATGTGCCGTTGAAAACTTTTCGCGAACAACGACAACAACAGCAGCAACAACAGCAACAACGAAGAACCGAATCATCAGCATCCGAAGTCACGGAAAAGCTCATGCGACATCAACAAGCGCGCGGTGAAACCTCGCAGCCAACAACGGCACCTCTGTCATGACCTCTTGGCGTGATGAGCTGACAGAAACGAGGCATGCATAATTGATCTCATATCGTATCATATCGTATCATACTCTGTTATAGCTCTTTTGATTCTTTAGTGAAATTCACTAGACTCAATTGACTCGATCGTTTTCAGGATATCACTCTTACATCAACAGCGGAAATCTGCTCCGATCGAAATTTGAATCTGAATCTACACCTTATTCGGGTAGTCGTCAGTTCGTCCATCATAGGTGCTCAAAATCTCCTCCGAACTCGACAAATATCGCCAAATTCCGCCAAACTTCAGACTTTGTTTTAGGTTTTCTTCTACGCTGCTATTGTTTTTTTTGGTGTTCTACTCTGGTAAAAAGTGGTATTCGAATGAATTTGTAAGGAATCACCTGAATCGGTTCTCGCGTTTTCTATTATCAAATCCATCCTACTCTCTGAGTAAATCATTTCAATAAGTTTTTCGCTTGCTTTGTGATACGTGTGTATTCGCACTTATTGAGATTATTACAAGAAGCTTTAGAGTAGTCTCTGAATTATGAAGCATCGTGTTTTTCGACGATGAAGTCACTTTGAATGTTTCTGAGGTCGTCGAGCAATGAATTCGTTCGAATGCCAAAATATGAGTGTTTGTAGGTGACTGTGTTTGTGACGAATATCTTGTGATCTCTAGAAAGAAATACTGCCGCGGTTTTTTTTGTTGTTCTTATCGATTCGTTATGCTATAAAATCGATACACATTCTTTCTAGGCAGTGAGTCGGAGTTCTTTTCTTCTTTCCTTTTCTGTGAATAGTATGGTTGTCATATAGATACACTGCGCGACAAGTACTGCCAAGTACACTAATAATCACAGACATTAGAAATGCTCAACCTTCATCAACGTTTCTTTCATGTTCTTTCGTTGTCGTCCGAGACTTTCAGTTTGAAGGCACTGCTGCATTCTTTTTCTTTTCGTTTTTCTCTGTTCGCTATCAGATTATTTTTGCGTAATAGACTTTTCCTTCCTGTAATTATAAGTCTGTACGTCTTGTAATCAGAAACTCTCTCCATTGTTTTTGATTGGTAGATTTAAATGTACAAAGGAATGAAATAGTGAGAGAGGCAAAAAAGCAGCTGTATTCATGGCTTGTGTTGCCGTGATGTGCACCAAAAGAGAGTAGGCTCATTCATAGTTAGAGTTTATATGTCCAATAAATAAAATAATGTTGATTAAATAAACGATTTTTTGCTGGTGCTTTAAAAACAGTTGTATGAATATAGAAGAGTAGATTCTGCTTGGAACTCTAGGAGAATCGTGCTAAGACGTTTCCAGAGTCCTTGCCACACGCAGTCGCCAATCCTTATGTATCCTGCAGAGTTGTCCTCGAACAAGTTTTACACAAATTTTCCGACTACGGAGAGATAAGAAGGCTAGTTGGTTCGGCACGGTCTCAAATGAAGACCTTAATTGGACTATTGAGTGGCATCTATACCACTGCACTTTCCGCGCCCCTTTTGCTGTTCTCATTATGTCCGATGGACATTTGATTTATTTCGTCAACATTTAGTTTCTTGCTGAAATTGCGCTTTTTCCTCAGTTAACATTAATTGTTGTATTTTATCCTCTTCTCAAGCTATTTTATAAAGCAAGCCTTTCCAAAGCTTATATTGACACGTTCTACGCCACGCTATTAGTACTGCCGCCATTTTTAAAATAACAAATGGCATATAGGAAACGCTGTTGGTGCTTTGAGGGTGCTATGTGACCCGTTCTCCCAATTGAGTCGAATGCCTTTGTAAGTTGATAAGAGTGGAACAAGGAGATCGTAGTTATAGTCCATCATATGGAATCTTTCTTCAAAACCATGGCTTGCTCATGTGACTGCCTTTCTTCCAGTGTTTGACTGGGTCATATGGCAGATGACTCAAATGAAAAGCTTATAGCTGACACAGAACCTAGATGAAGGAACAGTTGGCCATACTGTGTAGGCCACATTTATTCTGTAATAACACGGGTATAGAGAACATTTCACAAGGAATGTTCTCTATCTGTCACTTAAATACGTATTTCATTAAATTATGTATTTGCTTTTGTTACCCCTGCACGTAACATATTGTATTATGAAATACTTGGCACAACGCCTGCGTGCCTGTTCCACATTAACATTCCCTCTTAACCATTGCCCACGCCACAAGCCACAGCCTTCTTAACCGTTGGGCACACCACTACGCTTGCCATAGGGCCTCCCTCATTGCTCCGGAACTAGACCCCACAACTCGAGCCTTGACCCTGCGACCAATACCACTCGCTTGCACGTAGCCATACCCACTATCACCGTCATTTGGCTTCTGACGACACCTTGGAGCTTGCCGCTGCCCTTTCCTCATCATTGTCTGCTCTCCCACATAATCCTTCCATTCACAACTTCTTCGATCTACCTAGGCACAAATGATGTTAGCTTGAATCTGCAGCTCTTGCATTTCTAATACATTAATTTTTTCATCGATTCTCATGTAATTACTGCCTGTTGTTAACATAATCTGTATCACCTGTATCACCCGTAGTCCCGTTGATCATCGAGTGACTCGAGCGGGCGCCAGTAAATCTTCCATTTTTCCCTGTTGCGTGTAAGAGTAGCCCAGGGGGTTCTGCTCGCTCTAGGAACTCGTCGAGCATCATATCTTTCTTCCACGCTTTTCGTGAAGAACTCCGACCATCGAGTCGGTGGCCTTTCTGCAGTGCGTTTAACACCCCGAGCAATCCAGTCACTAACGGCTCTTGTCCATCTGTTGTCATTCATGGGTATTACGCATTCCGCTCACCTTATCTTCGACTGTTTGGCGTACAGAACGGCATCTTTGATTTTTGATCGTTGACACAGATCGGAGCTTCGGATCCCACCCCTTACTTGCGTGAAACGGGATGCGTACTCCTATCATTGTCCTTTAGGCTGCACGTTCAATAACGCTGATTGATCTTTCATCGAGCTTACGCAGAGACCAGGCTTCTGACGCATACGTTAGGGCAGGAAGTACCGTTGAGTTGAAAAGTTGGGCACGGAGTTGAGTGTTCTTTCTCCTCTTCACTACATCCTCAATGCTCTTGAAAGCTCCCCAAGTCGCTCGTTTCCTTCTGCTCAACTCTGGAGTTAAGTCGTTTGACATGCTGATTTTTTGACCTAGATAGATATAACTGGAGCATTCGTGGATATTCGTTCCGCTGAGCGTGAATGGGGCATACGAAGCCAATCCTTTCCCATGAACACCGTTTTTGTGAGCAATAGTCGAAGACCAATCTTTCCACAGGCTCTATCAAAGTCGGCAAGCATACGTTCCGCTTGGCTAATGCTTAGTGTTATAAGGGCGTTGTCATCGGGAAAACGAAGATGCTATAACTGCCAACCATAGATTTTCACTCCCATATTATCCCATTCCAATGTTCGCATAACGTTTCGGAAGGTGGCGATAAATAATTTTGGCGAGATGCTATCGCCTTGCCTAACTCCTCTTTTGACGTCAGCGTTGTAGAATGGTGATACCTTGGTTGTGAAATTTTTGTACAGCTCACGAAGGATCCTTATGTACTGAGTAGGGACTCCTTGACTATCAAGAGCTTCCATGACTGCTTCTATCCCAATTGAGTCAAACGCCTTCTTTAAATTGATGAAAGTGAGACAAAGCAGTCTTCTGTACTTGTTGACATAACAGTTTTGTTAAATAGTTCCATTGGCTCACACTTTTTCTACGCAGCAATTCTTCATTTTTATTGCTAAAGCATTCCCACGATTGCTGTTTACATTCTTGCACTGCGAGCACACAAACCATAACCCTCTTGTAATCATAGCAATATTTTTTACACAATCAGTGTTTGCTAAATACTCTTACATTACTGTTAATGCAAGTCGTTAGATGCTAAAACCCACTGAACCACCTCACTTGTAATTTATTGTGCATATATTTCTAGCATCATTGCGTTGTTGTGTAAATAATGCGTATACATATATAGAGGTTTAATTGCCCAAGTCTGAGATGCTATACCCAGAAATTCCTCTTTTTTATTCTTAAAGCATTCCTACTCACTACTAGGATCGCTACTCACATTCTTGCGCTATTGGCTATAGCGAGTCCACAAGTTCTTAAAGCATTCGTGTCAGATCATACGGGAATATGTGCCGTTATCCTTGCCAACCGAGTAGACAGCGTGTCGAACTTCGGCAGAAATTGGGAGTTATGCTGATCATATGTGGTGCGAAGGGAAGGAAAGTGAACATGGATGTTGCAAAATCGGGGCAGAGGTCCTTCTCTAGCTGAATTCCTTTTCTACTTCCTTCTGGAGATAATACCTCTTCAATATAGATATAAGTGGGTGATCATCGTAACTTGTATGGCGAAATCTCAGTGGGAGATAAAGATGATGTCCCCAGCCTTCAAAGTCGGTCAGTACTACCGCTGCTCTCTCCTTAGGACGTATTTCTGCTACTTTTTTTTTTTTACTTTTTACTTTTCCTTTTACTTTGTTGTGTTTTGTGCCTCAGAAGTTAAGGTAATGGCTGTCTGCAGCACTTATGACTCTGTACCTACATATGCGCCTAAGATTTTAGAGAAGCGTCTCTTCTTGGTCACCTACAAACGCTCGACGTTTTCCACATTCTTTTTAACGCATTGTTTGACACTGATAGCCATCCATGTTCCCGATGGTAGTATCATTACAGAAGATGGTCGAAAAGTTTAAAAACCCCAAATCCTCATTTTTTCGACACCACATTCCTTGAATTTCCTTACCTGCTCTCCATTTGGAAAGAAAAACCTTGGGTGGTGAGGAAAATAGTCTGATTCTACATTGGATTTTATGCTAACAGCGACATCACTAAGACAGAAGCTCCGGTCTACTATGACGTGATCAAATCCCTTCGAGTAGCTTTTTGGAGATTTCTTAAACCAAGGTGGAAAAATGGCTTACGAAATTATCAATATATTTGCTTAGATTGTTCAGTTTACAAGAGGTTGTTATATATCTTCTTTTCGGCTAACGTTTCTCCGTTGTTCCATACTTGTTGCTCCTCACGTTGTTGGTCTTCGTATTCGTGTCGAGTCTAATCTTCTTGAGTGGGGCGCCGCTCGCATGAATTATCGTCATTCGGATAAGGTTTTATATAGGACAGTTGTTGACTTATTGTCGAATTGTTGCTGCCTACTGCTAGAATTGTTAAGCACCATGAAAGGTCTTGGACGTCGTGATAAATTTCGATAACTTTCCCTTATGTTCGTTCCATACCAACCATGTATTTCGATGTCCTGTTCAGACATTTTTGAGACCAATTTTGGTGTTTTGATTGAAATGAAATCATCACATTGCAAGTGCATCCTGGTGTGTAGAACCAAGTACGTATAGTGTACGTCTGCATCCACTTCATAGCTGTATTTTGTAGAAGTGAAGACTAGAAGGACTGTCGAAGCCAGTATTAATTAACGTCTGTGTAGCTCTAAGCGTGCCACAAAAATCGAGAGATATTCAAAGAGTCAATGTACCAGGGCAAGTTCATGTTTACGAGATACCAACGCTACTCAATCCACTGCACTGTGACCGTATGTGCCAACAGATATTTTCGGAGTATCATAGGCAGTGCTTAATAGAAGGCGTGCATAATACAATGTCGTATCGAAAGCTTTTGGATAAGCTAAAGAATGACTTCCTTTATTTTTGCTATGTTTTTTCGCAATTAAAGGGCATGCTGTTCTATTGCGTGAGGATTAAGACAAATTCATTCAATTAGATTGTTGGATTTTTCCAGCGTAAACATACAGCTTAGTTGCTGATCAGTCTCCCAAAGGATCTCCTATTCATTTACCATCCATGTGAGGGCAAGCTTTTAGCTATACTGGCTTGTAAAATACAATATACATATTTATAAGAAAATCCATGGAGCATTTCTTCGTCCGTAGGCACTTCGATGGCACGTCCTCGCTCATCCTGCCGATCCCAGCACTTCTTCCATTATATTTATTGTCCTGATACCGCCATATGGTGGTTGGTTTCATCTGTAAGCTCGGTTTTTACCTAAGTACCTTTCGTCTTCTCTCATCATCACCGTGTTTCATACTGGTTTGAATGCGTTTTTCGTTGGATGCCGAAATAGCGGTACCACTGCACTTACAGTTTTTCATCATTCTACCGCGTGCTTTTGCAGATCGGATGTTTCATTTACTCTTGCAACAAGCACTGCCACTAAATTGATCATGTAGTGTTTGCATTAGTTCGAGTGCGGCTTATCTTGTAAAGCGTGCGGGGACGAATACGTTGGCGAAGCGGGTAAACCATGCTGCATCAGCATAAAAGAACACATAGTATGTAAACTTAATGTTAAACCAAATACTCCATATAGGACGCAGAGATATAACGGGAACATTTTGAAATAGAAGTTACCATCCACAGGAATTGAAACCTTCAGCGCGTAAAACTCTCGAAATAGTTTGGATATATTCCAGAAATTTGAAAGGCAGGCCTCATAATCACTACTGATATCACATGGTAGTCAAGGCCAATATTTCAATGTGAAAGACACACTAGGCTTCCATGTGAACTCTGGGCGGTTGGTCTCCACGTGAAATACTCAGTGGAAGACTCATAAAAGGCGCTTAGTGTGTGAGGAACCTATTACATTTTTAGTGCAATTGAAATCTTAATTTCGCGTTTTTCTGTTCTGGTTATGGATGTGTTTTACTGGGTGGACTGCAGTTAGACTCACTCTTCCAGGCTGTGAAGCAAATAAAATCAGCCAAATAGCCAGCCTGTTTGTTAATAAAGAGGAGAGTAACAACCCCTTGTTTGCTCAGCGGGAATACGGTCAATTATGTGATCAATGCCGACGTTAATAGAAAGTCGGTCTTGAGAATTAGGAAAGGTAATTTTTCTCTCAACACTTGAGGAGTTTTAAAACACTTTTTCTCTTTTCCTCAATGCGATGCTAATACCTTTCAAAAAATGGACAGGTCTTTAGATATCCACTTATACCACATCACATAGAGATGCACAGGAGTTTACATTCCTACATAACAGAAGGTGGTATAATAGCGATTGGATTTCTATACGGATCATATTCTAGATATGCAATAATGCATGAACTGGAATGTTTTGAAATAGAGCACTATATTGCCGTACGATGTGTGGCCTGCCGGAAAGTTATCGTACAATCCATGACAACAGATACCTTGTATTCCTGACTGCGTCATTATGCCCAGAAGGACTTTTACATTGCTCTAAAGCCTAACGTGCAGTTGGATTGAACTTCTGTTATTCGATTTAGGTTTGTCATGTTGATGAACAGTTTCCTATTCGAAAAGAAACCGTGTTTTTAATTAATATAATGAGTTCACGAACGGATATTCCTCTACCCAGAATGAATAACAAAGGTGAACTTCTCCGTGCTAAGTAGAATAACAAGGGTATCAAGGACGAAATGGTTTACTTTTACGGGGCCAAAGTTTTAATATTTGTCCAATGAAACTGTGACACTATGGCTTATCAACCCATTACATCTGATTTTCAATAAGAGAATTCGCAAGCCACCTTATGAATGCTTCAGATCTGAAGGTTTTACTTCGAAATGAATTGGAGAAATGTGGGTTAAAAGTTTTCCAGACATTAGGGAGAATGCCAAGGTTAAATCTGCCATCTTTAACAAAATGATGAAATCTAGGGCATCACTTCATTCTAGAAACATCGAGGTGATGGCCTTAAAGCCATTTCATATCCTACGACGTTTGCCGTATCTGAGATTGTTCAGTTCCCACTTTGTCGTTACATTTGTGGACTGCAGATCTCTTTGTGTGTTGAAATCCACTGCTCTTGTCAACGAACTCGTTTGTTGTGGGTCTCAGAAGAAATTACCCACCGTTGATAATTAACCACAACAAGCTTTATAGCAATTACCATATTAGCAGATCAAAACACCAATAGTTACGCAGGTAAACTCAATAGTGGTGACTACGAAGAAACTCGAAGGAATACTAGTAGGAATTATTTTCATGAAGAGCTGAGCTCAGAAGTCGATGTTGGTGACCTCAATATTGCCGTCCACTCGCATACCAATATAGTCCTGACCAGGATTTTGTGTACGATGTGCGAATGTGCCGATACGGTCGTCGTTCACAAAGATCTGAAAGAAAGCACCCGTTAGGATATGAACATCTAGCTATGGAAGACCATCATCATAAATGAAAGACGAACGGTAGCCGGTCAATTTCTGCGTGACGAGTAGTAAATTAAACCTTAAAAACCGACAAAATGGAAATGCACAGGGCTAAATGGTTTTAGCCGGCTTTATGATGCTTATTTAGCCTTATTTATGAGGCTTTATGCCCCTCTCTGGATTAATTCCAGAAATCCGAAAATGAACCGCAAGGAAGAATGCCTGATTATCACGCGTGCTATAGGGCAGTATATAAAACTGCTTTTCTGATGTGAGGGGCACACTATACTTCCATGTGATTTCTGTGCAGTTGGTCTCTACGTGACATACTTAGTGGAAACCTCATAGAAAGCGGTGAGTGTGCAAAGCTGTGTTAAGTGATTGAAATCTTGGTTTAGAGTTTCTTTGTTTGGTTATGGAGGCGTCTGGTCGAGTAGATTGCTATCAACTTGACCTTTCCAGGCTCTGAAGGCGAAATTCGCCGAAACGTCAGCTTAATCGTGAACAAAGAACACCTCGCGTTTGCTCAACAAAAATACGAAGAAAATTAAATGGTTTTAGTTAAGTAAGATAGAGACATAGATGAGTTCGTCGTTGAACAATCCCACAGGGATGTGATATGCATATTGAACGAATACGTGATAAGCGTATATGAGTTCTATACACCTACTGCTGCATGGAGTCAGTATACCCACCCTCCTAGACAAGTTTGGCACCAATTTATTGACCTCAGGCAAGTGGTATGGTTGCTTTAACCGAGAAACGGGATCGAACTAACAACAACATTTGTATTCGCGGGCAGCTCTAATCACTGCACTACACTCGTCCTTCAACTAACTATTCTGCTGAATTTCTAGGTCATGAAGTTATCTATACAAATAAACATATATATACGTATATGTATATAATATATATATGCAGAAACATCCCTGATAACCTTTGTAACGCTAAAGTAACTAATTGCAGTTACAAAGCAACGGATGTTTTGGAGGTTATTGAAGTCCACCGCGACAAAGCGTTGAAAGGCTTGCTACTGCTAATAGTAAGCGCTTCTAAGAATGAGTAGCCAAAGGGCATAAGCTGTTCTCATAAATTATTTCAACTCCTTCACAATCATTCATAGGTATTCTCACTTATACTATGACCTACGAATTCCTATTGGTGTATAAAATTAGTGTTCTTATCCTGCAGGATAAGTCTAGCAATAACCCGGAGGTTTTGATTCGCACGGGATGCCGGATTCAACCGTTGCCTACAGTAAAATAGATGCTAATATAGTTTAGTTACCAATCTGGAGGATTGTACTTAATCCACTATCTTTTTTATTTCCCTACCGTTTTTAGAACATAAATATTTATACAACGAACCCATAAAACTAGGCAGCATGAGTGACATCGAGCTTGAGCTAGGGCTTGCCAGGAATACACCATACGTCTTCGAATTCAACTCTTCATTGTAAAAAAATCACAGACAGTAAAACGACTCACCTGCATTGAATAGGGCTCATTCTCAAGGGTAAGGGTGAAACCGCGTTCTTTCTCGAATGGAAATGGACCTTCGCGTTCTTCGTTGCTCCATACTCCACCTTTGCATGAATTACGCACAATCTATAAGTTTATCGTAAGTTTTCTTCTCGCTGTTAGTAAGTACATTGTATTTTTTTGCCTTGAAAGTTAACATTTTTTCTAACTTCAGAAACTTACATGTTTCTCTTTGAAACGAGGATTGAAGTGGAACAAAACATCACCATTCCTTCCGAGCAGGTCGAGGTTCCATCGCTCACCTTTGGGAATTCCGTATATCGTAATTCGCTGACCTGGATAAGGCTTCGGTTTTAACGACAATATAATCAACAAAAATATACATACCGGCTTTAAGATGTCCATCAGGGAATGCCGTCTCCCATGGGATTTCATAGAACCTTTAAAGTCAGAAATTACATGAAGTTAACTGTTATGAAGCTTAACAACGAAACAATGTATCAGTTTACAATCTGAATCAACAAATCATCTCAAAATAAACGTTGGTTAGTTCCGCTGATATCTACGGCTTCGACTGTAAAAAGTTTTTGATAGCTCTACAATAAATGGATGAGAAAACATAGGATAAGTTGTGGAAAGGTTTAGTTACTGGAATGCTTTTACCGTCCTCCCCAGTGCACACTGCTAAGAGTGCAATCTCCTTTGATCTGAAGGTAATCGATTTTCTCGTACGGCAATCGATGTTTGTATTCGTGCAACTTCTTGCCATCACAGGAGATTTCCATAAAATCGTTGTTCACTCTATAAGGCTATCATTGGCACAGTCAAAGAAGAGAACCTCACTAGTGTAGTATAAGATTTCTCACAAATACTAAAAAGTTAGTTAAGGCAAAATACCTAATTCTTAGTTCGACAGGCTGTCCCAACTTGCATGGCATCGATTCTCGTTCTTCCTTCCCCCATGCCCCATTCTGAAAGTTTCATAAATTTCTCCAATGGGTACCAATGCATAGTCAAAAATGCTTATATATACACCATTTCCTACATTGTATTCTCGGAATTTGAACGAGAAAGTTCAGAGACAACCTCCATTAAATAGCTGTTATTACTACCAAAACAACGGCAAGACACTGATGAAGACAAATGGGAAGTAGATAACATACTATGAAAGAATTCATCACAATTTTCTTCTCGTCGAAACGAAGATTGAGATGAAGCGCAGCCTGCCCAGGATCGATTTGAGCAGCGCCTTCAAGAAAATTCACCTCGACTCTAAACATCAACAACTTCTTACTGATCAGAATGTTTTGCTATAAAAAATCACTAGAAATCTACACGCCCAGAATACTATATGAAAGGCTTTTATCAAGGTATCTAACGTGAACCTCACCTATGAGCATCACTGTTGATGCCACCCTTAATGCATAGGGTTTGTCCTGCTTTAATCGGTTCGCCAAGTCTTGTCACGTAAGGGACAGGGAGAGCAGCATGTGGAGTGTGATCCTAAAGTCACTCTTAATAGCTGAGATAAATTAAAAACTGGTTATATTGGCTGTCACTGCAAATATTGAGGGGTATATTTCTAGCCTCGCTAACTCAAGGTTTTTCAACAACATAGTTTTTCTTTGACCAAACATAACTCTAATAGCGCCTTTCTCAACTGCGTGAGATGTCCGCTTTATGCCTAAGTCTCAACCAAAACGGCACCAATTTTCGGCATTGGTTTATTCCTAATTAGAACCGGAACAAAAATGTTGAGCTGAACACATTCTCAGCCTGTAGGACTTTGGCTACTAATGGATCCTCCTTTGCATATTGTAATTCGACACCAGGAGCATCATATCACACTGTTAGGAGACGAGTTATAGAAAAGAGACATTGAAACTAATAATGCACTGTTTTTCACATTGCCATTGACATCATTGTTTCGTCAACCTCCAACTACTCTGAAGACCACTCATATTCTGCATTTTGTATTTTTCCGATAAGCAATAAACCGGCATGAACTTTACAAACAACACCATTGATAACTCCGACTTGCTGATCAACTGGCGCCAGATAGCCTTTATACTGGGTAAATTCATACTCTGATGAACTGATAAATAGGACACTACTGTGGCGAAATACTACCGTAAGATTGACCGAGGTTGTAATCATCACTGTTTGTTAAGAAGCACCTTAAAAATGGGTTTAAAATTCTACTACTCGGAGAAAGGCCGAACGCTTTCTGGTGAAATATGACTGTTAAGATAACTAGTACAAATCTTTCCCGATAGGAGCGATTCAAAAGACAGGATTTTAGCGGAAAGCTATGATACCATTTCGACAATGAACATCATACTTGCCAAAAGTAGAAGAACAAGGTAGGAGAGCTCGATCATAAATAAGAACTCTTAGTCGCAAAGAGATATTATTTGGCAATAACATTTGTTTCCATGGAAAGAACAACGACCGCTCAAAAACGCCGACAAGGATGTCCGTAACATCTGCGCGGCACCTAGTAGATACCCCTCGAATATCAAGCGTTCTATTTAATGCTGAGCATCACCCAATAGGAGGAATAGGTATCCATATTGGTCACGAATAAGGTGGTACTCATTTGTTCTTCCGCTGGTCACAGTCTATAAAAACAAAATGGTGGGTATAAGAGAAATTTGGAAAGATTTATTTTCATCTCACTGCTGAATTAAACCGACGGCAGAACTATGAAATGATACGGAAATGTGCAGAAACTCGACTGCCAACCGTTTCCATTGGATTATTAGTGGCAGGACACATGATAGCATTCGGCTAATTTTAGAGATATCAGCGCTGTTAGGTAATTATTCTCATGTGATTGTTCATAGGATATGTCTACACTGATGATCAGGAAAGAATACTAATCAGACAGGAAGAAGACATCGGATACAAAGAGGACAAAGGTTGCAACGAACCAATTTCCACAATTCGCTAGTTGACTTATGTTCTACAGCTGCAAAAGGCATCTCTAGGACTGTTTTCATATGAATGTTGAAGCGGATTGAATCGGACGACAACGACAAAAGCAAACAATAGTCTATTTACATTTCTCCTGGCAGAAAGCGAAGTCAGAGGTGTGCTCGAAATAAAACAGACGATGGAAACTCGTTAAGCAAAGTGTAGATGACCAGATTAACTTAAAAGCAAACGGTGGAAGTTGATGGCTCATCAACGGTATCGGTAATCGTGATTTACTGCAGGTATCGGCACTCTCAAAAAGTTTTATAAAATCAAGACGATTAACAAAACCGAGGAGATTGATGGCTCACCATTGATATTCGTAGCCGTAACTTACTGCAGCTATTGGCATGTTCTCAAAAAGCTTCGTAAAGTGAAGATGATTAACAAAACAGAGGATGCTGACGGCACATCAACGGTGTCGATAATCGTGACTCACTGCAGATCTGAGCTCCTGGGAATGTGAGGTGTGAAGAAAGACTTTGCTTCCACAGCGTTTATCCATAGTGAGAACATTATCTGTAGAATAAAGTTCCGTAAAGTTCCGAAGTACAGTGGTAATTTCTTTCCCGTCTTGAAATCCAACTTGAAGGTGATTCATAGGACACGGCGCCCATCACAGTTCCACAGAAGGAATCACCAAAAATGTATTCAAGTAATAAACACAAGACTTTTATCATTCACGAAACAATTTGCTGTATGTCCGTCGACAACGTAGGAAAAGAGGATTGGATTGGATTTGGCTGAGTGTGCGATCGGAAGAGATACAGAATGAAAGGGCTGTGGACACATACGGCAGGCATCTGACTGCAGTTTGATATTAGTCGTACGATCGTAATCCACCCTAGATCGACACTTCATTTGGAATCCTAATTTTGTTTCAAAGCAATGTGTTCTTTGCTCACAATCTTACATGATGAAAATATTAAAATATTCGAGAATCATATTGGAAAAACTTCCAGAAGACTGGCTCCGTTAAGCGGAGCTCATTTACTTTTCTAAGGCACATTTAATTTTATGTGAGAGACGCTCTATTCCTTGTCCATCACCATGGTTCCCATAAAACTAGAATGTATACAATTTCTGGGTCTGAAAATTGTGAAAAAATAGAATTAGGTTCTTTCTATGCTGTTATGGAAGCGTCCATTAAGACGTCTCTACTACAATCGCAAAAAAGTCATTGACTCATCGCTAAACAAAAGGTCTCATAAAAGCGATCAAGACTTGGCCAATGCAGGCATCAAATTGGAATGGTGATCTCCATAGAGAGTCTGCGAAGGAAATAACTCTTGTAAATAGAAAACCACTGTATGTGACACTAAGTGGGCGAAGGAGAAGTGAGCGCTAAAGTGTACTATATGTTGGCAAAGTTCTACACTGGAACTATGAATGAAGTCATAGGTTGATGAAAATATCTGAATATTCCATGCATGAAAGGATCTAGTGGTGCTGGACTAGAAAAACAAAACTAACAACTCACCATAGTGTAGTGCTGGAAAGCGATGGTTAATGTCCTTCATGTTGTTTTGCAGCGGGCCCCCCTTACTACCACGCCCACTGGCGGCGCCATTGATCGGCGTAAACAAAGCATGGCGGCAGATCGTCTGTACGGAAAACAGAACTGAGGAAACGCTGAATGAGAACACCACAATGGATGGAGAGATGGAGAACTGCCTGAAGGTGAGCTGCATCCGAAACACCCGTGCAAAACGTTGTTGTAGGCAACCCCACATATTACTTTGGTGGACAGATGAAATACCATTAGGCAGCAGATTACAGAATCCGCGATGATAAATATGTGGATACAGATCAGTGACGGCTTTTCGGCAAAATTCTTACCTATTGGTGATTTTCTTTGATCCCGTTCAAGTAGGCACAATACCCTTTCTCTCGTACACTCGTTTCTATCGGGTTCCTCCATTAAATGGCGCGTGTGGCGCAGTGGTTGGGGGCGCCACTACGACAACACATAGAACCAATCCCCGCGCCCATGGCCCACCAAGCCCTCCATCCCTCCGGGCTCGGCAAATTGGTACCAGACTTCTTTAGGAGGATAGCAGCGCTCGATACATCGCCAGGCTACGGCGCGTCATTGTAACCAGATATACCTTCAATCACCTCCAACGATACTCAATGAAGTCGAGTGCATGGCGCATCTCTCAGCTATTGATCAACGCCGAAAGCTTCTTTTTGTTCTTTCCTCCAGTTCCATCAATTTTTCCGCACTAGGAGTGATTTCAGGAGAATTGGTTATGCAAACTTTTTCGTTTACATCCTGAGTTCCGCTTGACATTTGAAAGATTTCGTATCGAAGACTAATGAAATATTATTGCAAAGTACGACGATCATGAAGAAATCCGGTATTAATTCACACCGACATAATGGACCGCTTCACAAATCTTTCGATTGGTCCTACCATGGAAATGACGAAGTTCACATTGATGTTGATGGGGAACTTTCTTCGCTTTTCGCATATCGGCGACGCACCATTAGCAACTTTAATATAGAAGGATAGTCCGACCCTTGTTTTTATCCCTCTTCTGTGGTACTGGTTCGGTCTGTTATGCTTTCGATTGATCAGTCGACTAGTCGCAAGAACTGTTTCCGCCCTGTTTCTCCACAAGGAAGAATTCTTGTCGAGATGCAACCAAATTTCGTTTAAATCCGTATGCAGCAACGACTACCTATAATAACGGCCTGAAAACGCATTGGCACGACTATTCCAGGATTCTAAGAAAACAGCACTGTAACGGTAATCAGGGGCGCATGTAGCTTAATGCTTAGAGGTAAACTGAAATCCTTAAGTGCGGATCGTTTGTCGAATATCACGCTTCGGGGTTCACAAACGATTCCATCGTTCCAGGATCGGCAAATTGGTACCAGATTTACCGCTAGAGATAAAACACGATCTTGATATATCTGCAGGCTACGACAAGTTATTTTATAAACCAGATATACATTCACTGAGTTCTATGATGTAATCGAATGCATAGCGCATCTCTTATGAAACTGATCAGTGCCAAACCCTTTGTCTTTCACTCTTTAAGAGTCGGTGAACAGGAAGGACAGAACACCCTCAAGTTGAACCAACTTTTCTACAGCTATGAATAACGGTTGCCAGACTACGAACAGAAAAAGTAGAAGTCGAGCTATGTATAAAATATGAGGATGCGCCCTACAAATGTGCAGTAAGTGAATGTAATAGGTGTCTTTCGCAGAATTATGAATAGCGAATATGTTTAGCACATCATGAGCCAATAAGCAAGAAATGGTCCGTTTTCCTGAAATGAATAGGAATAGAAGAAAATGCACAGTTCGATGGATGGATAGTAGCATATATTTACCATGAATATATGATGCTCATCGGAACCTTCAAGCCAGCAGAGCGGACTGCAACAGGTGTAATGCACCACATGGAAGAATGGAAATATTCTTGGGATTTCATCGAATCGGTCTATGATTAAAGACATTACAGTTGCTCTTTAGAACACGTATAGCGAATTGGTCGGAGGCGCTCTGCATTAGATATAGGATCGATCCCACCGTTCAAAGTTCACCAAGCCTTCCATCCCTCCGGGGTTGGCAAATAGGTAGCAAACTTGTCTACGATAACAGCAGCTCCGACTCAATATATCGATAGGCCATTGCGAGTCATTGTAAAGGCCAAATATGCATTCAGTTACCTCCAACGGTTCATAATGAAGCCGAATGCATGGCGCATCTCTCAGTGGTTGATCAACGCCGAGAGCTTTATCCTTTGTATCCCCCGAGAGGAGTCCCGGAACTTGGCATTATCCTACCCTTCATCTCAAACGATATAAGTACAGCTATAAAACGCTGCTTAAGAAGGGCGGGCTTAGAGAATTCGGTGAGCGTAGTTGAAATACCACCGAGTAATCTTAAGCGCCAGCTAGTTCGTAACCGCCTATATGACCGCCTATGTGCAACTCAAAATAGCATAATTTACCCCAGTGGTAGAGACGGTGATTGCATGAGCTCGGGTATAGTTTATCTGATCTCCTGTAAGACGTGTGGTGACGAATACATTGGCGAAACGGGCAGACCCCTCTGTGTCGGCATAAAGAACACCTAGCCGGCAAACATAGACCAAATACTCCGCTAGGCACGCATAGGACCCAGATACATAACGGAGAGGACTTTGAAGTATGTGTCACGATCCTTGCACGCGAATCAAGAACACAGGCGCGAAAAACTCTCGAGGCACTCTGGATTAATTCCAGAAATCCGAAAATGAACCGCAGGAAAGAATGCCTCATTATCACGCGTGATATAGGGCAGTATATAAAACTGCTTTTCTGATGTGAGGGGCACACTATACTTCCATGTGATTTCTGTGCAGTTGGTCTCTACGTGACATACTTAGTGGAAACCTCATAGAAAGCGGTGAGTGTGCAAAGCTGTGTTCAAAGTGATTGAAATCTTGGTTTGGAGTTTCTTTGTTTGGTTATGGAGGCGTCTGGCCGAGTGAGTTGCTATCAACTTGACCTTTCCAGGCTCTGAAGAAGGCGAAATCCGCCGAAACGTCAGCTTAATCGTGAACAAAGAATAGTAACACCTCGCGTTTGCTTAACAAAAATACGAAGAATGACTTTCCATAGCGTTATACCTTTTTATTTTCTGCCTACTATAATTTCGCGGCAGGGTACTAAGCGAAATACAACCACAACGTTGCTGAGATA